GAGAATCACTTGAGCCCAGGAGTTGGAGGTTGCTGTGAGCTGTGATGCCATAGCACTCTACCCAGGGGGACAGCTTGAGGCTCTGTCTCAAAAAAATAAGAAGAAAGAGAAGGGAGGAAAGCCTTTATCTGGTTACCCTTCCGGAGCTTTGTTGAGCTGAAGGAAACCATGGGACAGTTCTGGGGGCCTCTGTGGACTCCTAAGGCTGCTGCTGGTTCTGGATTTAAACTCGGGGTCTTTAAAACCTGTGGCCATCACTGCATGGTGTTCTTGGTTCACGTACCCTAGGGATCCCCAGGCGTGTACCAGTTTTGTAGGGCTTCCAAATGTCTCCCAAAAGATGCTCAAATCCCTCCCCACCTCACCCCTCAGGGAGCCAGATTTTGGTTCTCAGTAGATACCTGTGGTTACAGTACAGCCCCCGGCACCCTGAAGTTCTGTAGGAAGTCGCAGTTTCATTAAGCCCACAGGCTAACAAACACTTCGCAAGGCTCCAGCCTGCAGAGCAGCCTTTCCCCTTGCACCAAGCAGGATGCCATGTGCCTTCCATCTCATCTTTGGCATTTCCCCAGCCCTTCTCAGTGAGCGCTAAATGCCACACTTTATTGATCGGTCAGTAAGTCATGTTTATCAAGCTGACAGTGTGTGATACAAGGGTGTGGGAGCAGCAGAGAAAGGTGGGTGAGCAGGGGAAAAAACAACCTAGTCAAACGTTAGGGTTTACAGGTAAAGAAAAAGACTCCACATCGTCCTCTCCCACCACACCTGGGCTCTTCACACCTCTTTCCCCATCCTGGATGTCCACGGCCCTCTCCCAAAAGCTCCACGAGGAGATGGGTGCCGTGGCTACCCAGGACTCAGAAGGCCTTTCTTTATGTGGTGCTGACCTCTAGAGGCTTCCAATTAAAAAGCATCCCTAAGGACCAACTTGATTTTACTACTGGTTTTTACATCCCATACAGCCTACATTATTTCCCGAGAAAATAAGTGGAGAAAATATCTCTGCGACTTTAAATGCTTCCTCAGAGGAAATGCCCACCTTGTTCTCTGGCTGCCTAAGTGCAGTTTGCAGACATTATTACGTACAGATAAATGTCATTGTTTTTCACTCCCCAAAGGGAAAAAGGTGGGTCAGAGATAAAGTATTTCCAAGTTTTTTGCCTGTTGCAGTTCTAAGAGGAAAACTACAGTGCCAACATTTCAGGGTGCATTTCTTGAGTTTCCAAAGTACCAGAGGGCCAAGGCTGCCCAGAGGAGAAAGGAATGTTTGTCTGGCCCAGTTCAGCAGTGCACCCGGCAAAACTATCCTCCAGACACTCTGGCACACGTACAGCAAGTCCACTTGGTCCAGCCCGGGTACAGGGTCCAAGTACTAGGCAGTGGGTTTAGGGTTTGGTTTTGTTTATCTTTGTTGTACTTCTACTCACGGGTGCGCACAATGAGCACAGGCCAGGGTGGCGTCCCGCTCGGCCTGACTTCCCTCCAGAAATGCAGCTTACTTCTTAGAAAACGAGACTGTTCAGTTACATCCCTAAGCAAAACACCCCACACCTTCCTATTTTGTTCTAGCTTCCGATTCCTTATTATTGCTCACGAAGAGAAGGGAGCTCCAGGAAAGCAGCAGAAAGCATTCAGGGATGCTGGCACTTGGGCTGATACACACCCATTATATTAGTGGGGAGAGGGAGGGTCTTCTTTTCTAAAGGAGGTCTTAGGGAAAATGGGTTCAAAATCAGAGGCGTACAGTTTTGCCAGTTCTAGCCACACAGCCTGGTTTTGTGAGACAGCATTTCCCTTAGAACTGTAGTTCCCACCCTCCCTATCTATCCCACTAGCCAAGACAAAGGACATTCCCACACTGCTAGTGCCAGAAGGGAGCTCGGGAATGAATCCCCCACTTTTTATTTTTGAAGGCGAGGAAAGCAAGGCTGGGGGTTGGTGGACAGAGCGGACATGCCTATGGTCACCCAGTAGCCAGGGACAACTCTGGGCTAGAACCTTTCCCCCCAGCCAAATGATTTCAGAATGATCAAAGGAGAAATGGGAATATTTCTAACATGGGTCCCTGCTCTTAGATGAAAAGAACAGTCTGCACTTTATAAACTGTATCAGCGAGAGTGATGGAGGAACAGTAGAAGAAAGGCCTTCTCCTAAGTAAGGCTTTGTGTGCACCACCCTCTGCTATGTTAGGCCAGTGAGTCTGAATGGTTACACAGGCCCGTCACTTGAGTACAATCTCTGACCACAGCCACATGGAAAACAAAGAACCCCAAATTAAGTTATCTAAAATACACCAGAAGCCTCGATGCTGTGTCTATTAAGCCAATCTCAAATTTAATTTAATCTATGGAGATCCATTCATTTGGAGAAAGAAACTTGCTCTTAATCAAATAACAGAACTTAGCACTAACTTCCAGATTTATTTAAATGCCATTGTCAGCGAATAGCAACAACCAGAAAGAAAGTGGTGAGGGAGTGGTCTCACGTCATTACAGAAGGACCAGAGAATACACATTTCTCACTGGTGCCCAAAAGATTCCTAACTAGGCTAGAAAAAATAGGATTGTCACACACAAAACTAAGTGTCAGTTCAAGGGAAGAGTAGAAAATTATTAAATACTGGTGAAGGCATCCAAATAGACATATTAATGCCTCCAAACACATAAATCGTTAGCTTGTGGATCCAGGACAGTGTTTCACGCACTCCCCTCCATCTCCCACCCTCCACCACGGTCCCTGTTTCTCATTTATAAACCACGCTGGGTGTCCTTTAGGACCATACATCGTGGAGAGAGTCAAAAAAGAGGCCAAAACCACCAGAGTTTGGAAGGCTCTTTAATAGCAAGCTTATGGTAATTCCATTGTGGGATGAGGCCCTCCCTCTGGGGGGGGTGCAGGTGTGGGTGGGTTCAATCTAGGATTTACACTGTTTGAAGCATCTAACAAAGGGCAACAATTTTTGGCAACCCATTTCACAGTTTTGTAATTTACAAGAGATTTCTTTGAAAGGAAATATGAAGGCAAAGAAAGCACACATACCCTACACGAAACGTTTCTTGCCTAAAAAAACCCCAACAACTGTTCCTTGCTTTTGCTGCGTGTGTAGATGGCTAAATTTTGCTCTTCATACACAAATTAAGACTGCATCACACATAGTTAGATCTGCCCTAGCACTGGAGACTTACTTCCTCCTCTTAAAAGCTGACATTTTGGGCCGAGCGCAGTGGCTCACGCCTGTAATCCTAGCACTCTGGGAGGCTGAGGCGGGTGGATCACTTGAGCTCACAGGTTGGAGACCAGCCTGAGCAAGAGCAAGACCCCATCTCTATCAATAGCGGAGCATTGTGGTAGGCCCCTACAGTCCCAGCTACTTGGGAGGCTGAGGCAAGAGGATCGCTTGAACCCAAGAGTTTGAGGTTGCTGTGAGCTAAGATGCCATGGCACTCTACCAAGGGTGACAAAGGAAGACTGTCTCAAAAAAAAGAAAAAAGAAAAAAAAGCGACCTTTGCACAGAGCGCTGCACCTTCATTTGCCTAAATATCAGGAGAAAATGAATCTAAAGAATAAAAACAAACAAACGGGAAAAGGCAGTTTACAAAGAACTGACTGGCAGCTTTCTCTGTGGTACCAAACAACTTGGGTACAGTTCTAATCAAATTAAATGTTTATTTTTATGTGGCCTGGCACACACTCTCGACTGCCTGTGCCTATTCAACCTTAAGAGGGCTTTAAATGGGGTTTCTAACATGAAATGCTCATAGGTACTGTATTTTTGTAATCCAAATCTAAATAAAAATATAAAAGACGATGTATTGTTTAACAATTTTCCCGGTGAGCGGGAGCTATAGATATTTCACCATGGACACCACATTACCATGGACACCACAGGCTACTGGCGTTCGGGCAAGTTTTAGAATTACTCTATAAAATCTAAAAGGCTTCAGCTTTCTGTGTCATATCTGTTCCCACATAACCAGGATAACCGACTGGGTCTTTATGAAAGAGGATTTTAGTTTGTAATTCCAAAAAATGTTTAGGCTTCTCTGAAGACTAAGCAGTTGGCAATGGGATCTCTTTGGAGTTAATGCTCACTGCAGGAGGGGCCTGAGACTCACTTGAATTTTATTTGTGCTCTTTCTACACACTTGAAGAACTGCGTGGGGTGTGTGGGGGGTGGGGTAGGTAGGAGAGCCCTGCCCTCTCTCCTGAGGGCAAATTCCTAGCCATACCCTCCTCCCAGCCACCTCTAAGACCTGAGTGTGGCTCCACAGTGTACCTGCCAGGTGACTGGGGCCGCTCTCAGATCTGTCTGCACTTGAGAAAGCCAGGCTTCTCTGGCTGGCAGCTAGTTTTATGGAGGGAAAGAACTCCCCCAGATGAGGAGGACCCTTGCTGTCTCCTCAGCTGCGGAGCATTTTTAAAGTCGCAAAGCCATTGCCAACACAAGGCTCTGCCTCTCAATATGGTCAGTCCCTTGGAGGACAGAAGGCCCCTAGTGAAGAGAGCCATAAAAACAGCTTCCTGGCTCTCATGTGCCAACTGTCAGACCCTGACTCTCTCTTTCTGCCTTATTCATTTCTCTGCACCCCAAATTAAGTCCTGCCTATTCCTTTGTGCCTCTCTCTGCGGGAAATCAGATTCGTTCCTATCACAGCTTCCCAACTTGTGAATTTTAACATGCAAGGCATATTCCTAAAACATAAATTCTGATGACGCCTGGGATTACAGCTCCTCTAGGTCCATATACTTTGTGCTCTTATGAAAGAGAAACAATATTCCGAGACATATTGTGCTAGAGAATGGTTTCTGTTTATACATGAAAAATGACAGCAACTCCTAGAAGAGAGGTTTTCATTTAAGTACAAGGGAAGCCTAATTCTGGCACCAGGACACACGGAGAATCCTTATGTAAGAAACTTTTTGTGTTCTGGCCGTGGAAAAACAAAATGTACCGTGTGCTGTGATGGGGCTGGGAGACGTGAGGGACACAGTGCAACTGATCCACGGTGGGGACAGTGGCAACAGGCGCTGTGTGGAGTCTCACCTCCTTTCCTGGCTCTGCAGTTCACTCTGATTCCCTGAAGCCTGCTCGATATCATCAGGCAAAGCAAAGTGCCCAGGTAACCATACAAAAAAATGTCTCCATGATTCACTCAAACCCGGGATGGAGGTTTTTTGTACTGTTCTCACAGGCATGAGCTCCAGTTTCACACCTGGCCCACAGTGACCAGGGGGTAATCAAGCATTCCCCCACGCAGTCTCTCTCTTACTTTACTGTCATTGTCACTTTCTCCCTACTGGATGGCAGGCAAAACAGTAATAGCACTCATCTTTCCCTCTCTTCCAGCTATTCTTCGTGCAAATCTCCTCTCAGCAGGTTAAACACAGACCAGTTCCAAAGCCCCAGTCTGCCAGGGGACAAGGAAAAGCTACGCCTCTCACAGGCAGAGCAGGTACAGTTGAGACAAAGCCGGCTCCTGGGCCTCTCTTTACCCTCTCCTCTAAGGAACAGACTTTCATCAGCCCTGCAGGAATGGGGCCTGGGGCTTTGGACACTCACAGCCCAATAGTCCTAAGGTAGTTCAAGGGCCAGTTATTCTAAGGGCAGCATCGTGGCAAGATTCCAGATATATTTCCTTCTTGTGTCCCCAAGAGTTTCCCTGACTCACACACGTCACAGGGCAGGAATGGAGGGCAGTGTTTACAGCCCGAAGAGCAAACACCCTTTGTTCACAAACTGGTTAAGTGACTTATCCAAATCACTCAGAGTCCATACTAGAACCCACGAGTCGCTCCTATGTCCCAGGTATGGTCCTCTCACCACACTGCTGCGGCCTCGTGGTGAGTGTTTGTACATGGGAAAGGTCAGGAACATGTTCACCACGGGACCATCTCCACAGCAGAAACCACAGGCTGCCTGGCCTCCCCACCCTCCAGGTGCAGCTGTCACAGGACGCAGCCCTGGCGAGAGGGTCCACAGTGCAGGAGTGCGTGTGAGTGTGCACTTGGGTGCCAGCACTGGGGACATACGCAGGCAAGCAGGGAAAAGGAAGTTTTTAGGGCAAACAATCCAATTTGTTAAAGCCTTCTGGGGTTCTGCCATGGAAAATAAGTAACCTTCTCTATACCTTACCCCTAGGGCAGAACAAAGACCAGAATTCTCATCAGCCCACTGAATGACTGAGTCTATCTCAGTTCAATTTTTAAAAACAGAGAACATTAACATGATAATACCGACATGTATTTGGTCAAAGTCTAAACACTTTTTCAATAAAATACACTTTATGTTATTGACAATATCCATTTGATTTCCAAACATATGTAAATTAAGGTTTTACGCCTATAAAACTGTATAAAATTCCAGTTTACCTTCAGAATGGAGCGAGCTAGCCAAGCATCTTCATTTCATTTGCAGAAGTCACTCTCGAAGGCTACTGTGTTAAAACGGAAGTTCCCAAACCTGGGTGATACCTACGTAACCTACAGCCCACAAGCACCTTTGTTCATAAACAGAGCTGGTTAGAAAACGGGCAGGGCCACAAAGAGTGGAATACGCTCACTCCATCTAAACACCAAGTTTTGTTTTGCTAATAGGCTACCCAGAAGGAAAGTCATTTTATTTGAAATTAACCTTTAAGATGTTTTTCTGAGAAAAGAAAACATACGGGTACCGAAGCACAGATGGAAACCGCTGTGGTATCATTTTACCTGATGACCTAGAACTGCAGTATACTGTTTTACCACGAGCAGCCAAACTTCGCACACCACTGATCAATGACACAGAAAATGTTGGGACAATCAGGTTTAGACCAACATGCCCAGAAGATATACAAGGCGCCCCTAAGTTCTGTGGCCTCTGCTGCTGCTGCTGCTGCTGTTTTTAAAATTCAGAATCAGAACTTTGACAACCTAACCGGCATGTGTGTGTGTATTTAAAGCATTCCCACCCCAGCTGAGAGGTTTAGTCAACTGTTATAAAGGAGGCATTCCATATCCTAAGTTTTTAGAACCAGAGGCATAGAAGGTTCCAAGAAATGAATGTTTCAGATAATTCCAAGATAGCATTACCAAGGATTTCCCCAGTATGTATTTTTTGGCTAAATGATGACAGACAGTTGTATTTCTGATTATGCAAGTTGTTCCTGTGAGTTGTCTGAGTATCTTGATCAGTAAGATGTCCTCTCTTTTAACCACGCTAACCCATGATTAAAAGATACCTTTCACATCCCTTTAAAAATTTACTGGAATTGGGTCCCTTAAAGTACTTGATTATAATTTTTTAATAAATTACACAATGGAATCCTTTTCTTGAGTTTTTTTTTAAATAAAAGATTAAGAAAGCATAGAAGGATTCCATCATATTTTTTAAAACTTTTTATCCTGGTTTATTTTCCTTTTAAATTTATGTATGGCTTCAAAGTTTAAGTGGCACTTGGATTCTGGATGTTTTCATGATTTGACAAGTTGCCATCTCATTATAAAGAGAGAAGGTAAATGTTTCATTTCATATATAAGATGGTTTATAAACATTTTAAAGAAATCAGTAATTTATGTCTTTCACCCTATTTATATTTCCATGTTTAGACTTTAAAAGTGGCTTTGGAATTAGCACATTTTGAAACAATTGAACAAGCAAGTAACATTTATACCTAACCATGAACCAGTTGCTACATACCCAGGTACTTCTTAATAGCAAAACACTTAAAGGCTTCTCCACTTCTCTTACCCTCTTACTCCAAAGCTAAGTGATTATCCTTTTCTGCCCTTGTATTTGCACTTGTACAGTTTAATGACTAGATATTAAAACTCATGCTTTATAAGCAAAACCTTTCACTTACAGACACTTAAAAAGTACATAAAAAGTGCAGACTGCATGTCTTCTCTGCCACGCTTTCCCTCAGTAAGGTCACCTGTGAGGACTCAAAGCATATCCTTAATACATTCAAAGTTTTCTACATTCGAGTCAGCGAATGTTAATTCTCCAACATAAACTCAAGAGAGAATAGTCAGCCACAAAATGGACTCTAAATTCAAAATGGCAAAGGCTACCAAGACAACTCCATAGAAACCCCAATGAAGCAGGAGTGAAATTCAGGTCACTTCTGAGCACAGCTCATCACAGATATTTAGTGGTCGTTAAAAAGGTATTTCATTTTAATTTGGATGCCGGGAGCCAGACGTCCTGTTTCAGAGTGCTAATGCAAAATGCTAACCCAGGAGCACACAACCCCACCTAGGTGCCACAGGGCTCACTCTCCTTCTCCAGTGAGAGCCCTTGGAGGTTTACTGCTGACTGACCCCCATCTGGGGGTGGTCTGCCTCTGGCTCCTCCTCTTCCACGTCTGCACTGTATTCTTCAAATGCATCATCATCTGCATCCGGAAGCCCCAGCAACTGCAAAGAGAGAACAAGAGAGAAGCAGCTGTGAGGGCAAAATGGTCCACATGTAAGATGATGACCAAAGGCACGTGATCCAAATCAAATCGCACTTAGTAGGACTTGACTCAGAAGCCACATGTGTCCTGGAAAAGTCAACTATTCTCACAGTTATTTTTCTAAACCTAGAAACGTCAGTTGGTTTTATTGGAGAGCCTGGGGAGTCTCTGTTTTCAGATATCAAAACACGGCATCATATACCACCTATGTGCAGAGATGTAAGACCTGTGTGTCTGCACGCACATCTGGGACAAGATGAAGAGTTCGGTCTCATGGAGATGTCAAAATCTATTCTCTATTTTCTCTCTTAAAAACACATAATGCTATTGTTCATAGCACATTTCTAAAACTGTGGAGACAACTAAAAGGTTCAACAACAAAATGGTTAAACAAATAATGGTGTATCTGTAAGATGGAATCTTATACACGCACTTGAAATGACACTTTTGAATAATTTAGTGATATAAAAATATACATGTAAGTGTAATAAGAGCATAATAAAACTGTATTTTGATTATAATATAGATTTTCTTAAAATGTATATATATATAATTACATGCATAGAAAAAGGATTTCAATGAAATACATCCAAATTTTAAGAGGGTTTTTTTTTTAGACTGTAGGATTATGGGTTAATTTTCTTTTTTTTTTTTTAATTTTCCCAAATACTGTATGATTATCATCAGAGAAACTCACAATAAATTCACAATAAACATTTTTTTTAAAGCACCGCTGGTCTCTGGCTAGAGATGGAGTGCTGTTTGCTAGGCCTGATCAATATGAAAAGCCCCTTCTCAAGCAGGCGGGATACCACAGCCCCTGGCACTTCTGGGCCTGAGAAAACCAGGCTTCCATCTCACAGTTCCTCGGCCAGAGCTACAGTCTGCTCCTAGCCAAAGGACGGCTTTACAGAGAGGCAGGCAACTTTGCAGAGTAACCCTGATGACCCAAACACTAACCGCATTAAGACATGAACTGCAGGACTGGACACTGTCATTCTGTTTCTTTGCACTGCCTCCCTAGTGTCCTGACACCCTTTTCCTTTCAGTTCCTCCCACTGCAAAAATGGAAACTTCACTGAAGTTCTCTGGCTGCAGCTCCAGCACTACAGAGGCACTTAGGACAAACCATCAGCTAAGCACTGTTGGTCACATTCTGCACGTGGCCCACCAAGGTGCACCCAGCCCAGTGCTGACATGTGCTTTCCTTACAGCTCGGCAGGTGCAGCTGCCTCAGAGATGCCACTCATGTAGAGGGGAAGGGTGGGGAGAGCCGGTCTCAGCTCCTCCCTCCAGACAGGGCAGAGAGATCCTGGGTGTGCTTGGGAGAACAGGGAAGCCTCTGTTTCTTGCTACTGACTCCTTTCCAGATTTTGGTATGGAATAAAGGGCAAAGTTTGTCTCCAAAAAGAGAGAAAATGATGGCTGGTCACAATGAACTTTGATGGTGACTACTATTTTGGTGGTCAATTTTTATTTGAAAAGCTGGATGACACAGCAAGGTGACGGTCAAATGAGTCGTAACATTTAAATAGCTGGTAACCACCAGGGACTCTAGACTCTCCTAAACACCAAGAGAAGACGGAGACATTCAACAGTGGATGTAACTGTCTGTTGTACTGAAGGGATATCACTTAAAAGAGAAACGGCCGATGGGATCCTGCTCACGTAACCGATCTGGAGCTTCAGGAAGATGCTGAGGCTCAGTGGGAAATGTCACGGTCGATCTCCAGCGGCAGCTATGGGTAAAGAGGGCACAGCCAAGGCCAGCATCTGTGTACGTGCCATCCTTGTCCTCAAGAGCCATGCTGTGGAAGGTTCTTCTCCATGATTCCGCAAGGTGACATGTCCTGCCCCAGACCATGGGTAGCACCCAATACCCTCCTGCTCTGTACTTTAGGGGCCTATGGAAGGGGACCCAGCTGGCCACTACCCTCCTCTATCTCCAGCTCCCTACCTTAGATGTGAATCCAAAGCACCTAGGTGCTAGTTCCTAGCGCATCAGCCACGCGGGAGGCCATTCCCTAAGGCCACAAGTATTCTGACTGCTTTTCCAAGAGGGGCTCCCCCCGCCCCTGCAGAAGGGAGAAGGAGAAGCAGTGCTCTGTGGTCTTTGGGACTTTTATGGCACCTTTGTGCAGAGTCTGCAGATTCATCAAGAGGCCATGCAGAATACACCCCCAGGACTGCGGTCCAAAAGCCAGGGCTCTAGTTAGCTGGGGGCCTCTGCCAAGTCCCTGCTTCTGCTGTACCTCGGTGTCCTCCTCTGTAAAGTGGGAACATGACGCATGCTCCACCTCACACAGTAACTATGGAGATGACGTGAGAATGTGGTGGGGGCCACGCTCTGCAGACTGTCGAGCCTTCCGTAAATGTATCTGGCTACGTCTTCTCACTTCTCCTATTTAAAGCACAGTCAGTTTGATGACGCAGAGAGTTATTGCTGCCTCCAGCCCAGGCTGCTCCCTTGCTGTGCTTGCCTGGGGACCACCTCCCCATGAATCAGTACAGCATTGAGCAAGAAGAGCTGAAACTCCAGCCATGGGTCTCTTCAGTCTGATCCTCAGGCTTGTGTTCAGCACTGCACTCAACCAAACAATTCATCATGCTTTGGATTTAATAATAATAGTTACTATTACTCACTTACTCTCTGCGAGGCAGCTCTATACACATTAATTCCTTTGGCCCTTGCACTAACCCTGTGTGGTAGGTATTATCATCATCCCTGGTTACCTTAAGACCTAGAGAGGCTGAGCGTCTTGCCCAGAACTTTTCCAGTAGTGGCAGAGCCAGGATTCAAACATGGGTCATCTGACTACAGACATCACTCACCTAACCACCAGCTGCCCAGGAGACTCCCAGGCTGCTTCTATTAGCCGTAGGTTTCAATGTTTTCTTCAGGGGACTATACCTTCTAAAAATACATTATGTGACACTAATGCCTCCATTTGAGTAGGTACAATTTGGAAGCATGCATAGCAAGCACAGAATTAGAATTTGCCTGGAATTCTAAGGGATGACATACAGATATGTGGTAATTTAGCATCCCCACCTCTTGTGGGCAAGTCTACATTTAACTTCTAGGTTCAAATTTTCAGCAGGCAAGAAGATCTATCAGACACAGGAGCACAGACAGGCTGGGAGGGACGCGGCAGCCCCTGCTGCTGCACCCACACGTTCTCACACAGAAAAGGAGATGAGCCAAAAACCCCGGAGTGACTGGTAGACGTAAATTATTCCTGACACAATCATTCATTCCTATTTCAGTGAAATTCTTTCAGTTGACTAAGAAAACAAAAGTCTGTGCTGACGCCAAGCAAGAGCATTGGGGTTTCCATGGTCTCACTGTCCATGGTCTCACTTGTCTGGACAAGTATGATCACATAAGAAATGCTAGGGCCCATCCATCCAAACAGGGTTTTGCTTGAAAGGCAGAGCCACCAACCTTCAAAAATTAAAGCTCTTCAGACCCAAGAGAGTATTAGTTATCTGTAGGACCCAGTCCAGGTCTTTTGGACGAGGATATGAATTACCTGGGCCATATTCACCGGGCATTTAACATCTGCCATCTGAAAAGAGACCCTCAAACTGCACAGTGGGCAGCAGGGTTTTTATAAAAGAAGTCAGTCAGCTATGGCTTGGGTTTCCCTAGTGAGTGCTGTCTGGTTTCAGAGGTCCCTGAGTGCTCCTTCCAGGGCCTCCCCTCATCCTTCCCCTGTGTAGTGTATATGATTCACTCAGATTTACCTAAATGCAGAGTCTGATTCAGTGGGTCTCAGGGGGACATAATTCTGCATTTCTAACAAGCTCCCAGGTGATGGGGATACTGCTAATCCAGGAGCCACTTTAGCCAGACTCTCAGCATTTGGGAAATTTGACACCACTTATCTTAAAGATCACGATGCTGGTGGCAATAAGAAACCCGTGATGGGGTTCTGGACACTCGGTCTGTCTTCTTGACACTACAGGAAAAAGGTGGCAAAAAGGACGTGGGACCCAGATGGGCAGGAGCAGCAGATGCTCTCTTACTTTGGGGGTCACTGCACTTTCTAAAAAAGAGAAAGTCTGTATGCTCATGACATGAGCAAAAAGCAAAACATAAACCTAAATTGTCAACATTTAATGTTTATCATGAAAACCTAGATGTGTGCACAATCTTTTTTCATTAGCCTTTCTGACCCACTCGGGCAGCTTCCCACAAGTAGATGACAAGAAGCAAGAACTGGACTTTTTCTGGATCAAAAGGATTTTCATGTGGGATTGAATCCCTGGTTCCCCAACCATTAGTGACAAATCAGAAATATCCATTTTGTTCATACTGGTGAGGCAGAATTAGGGAATTTTTCAGCAAAAATTTTCCGCCTTTTGAGAAAAGAAATACGGAGTCACACAGGAACCCCAAGAAGTTCAAGAAGCCACAGTGACCACAAGATCTACCGCAGGTCGGGCCGTCAAAGCGGCACCAACCAGCCTAGCACACAAGACTGCCAGGGCAAGAGGACACTTGCCCTCCCACTTACAGGCAGTGACACTCCAAGAAAAGAGCGACTCCTTGTCACGCTCACAAACCTCTGAGAGAATTCGAAAGGGCAAAGATAACGTGTAGTTTTGCAGCTAAATTAGAAATTGTAGGCTAGTTCTCTTATACAGTTTTTTTTCACCAGGACTAAGTCTTCCGGTTGTCACTAAATAAAAAACATGTAAATGCTGAGGGGGAAAATGAATGGCACGATCACCATTATTTAGATTCATACAATTACACGATGGCCAGCAACTGTCAACTGAGGGTCACTGAAATAAGAAAAATACAGGGCTCCAACGACTGTCCAATTCACGTTTACCAATGCCGCCGATGGGTGTCTGCGAAGCCATGACAGGTAGCAATGCCTGGTCCTGGGCAACCACAGCCTGCCTGGCATTGTCACTTTCATACACATACCACTCAGGTATATGACATGC